CCTCCTTTGCCCTTCCTTTGTCCTCCTTTGCCTTCCCAGCCTGCCCTGCCTTGCCTGCATCCCAGCTGAGCCCCCACTCCTCCCGCGGTCCCTCCTCCCCAAAACCCCAATCCGTTGGCTGTTTTGAGGGCACTGCATCCCCCTCCTGCCATGCCTTGTCCCCCTTTGCCTTGAGCCTGCGTCCTCTGGAGTGGCTGGGCCATTGCGTGTGCATGTCCATGTGTCCTTGCAGCCCTGCCGCAGCGCTGTGGGTGGGGATGATGGCATCTCCTTGTTCACTCACCTGGGATTCTGGGGGGTTGTTTTACCGTCTCTGCTAATTTTTTCGGCAGGACTTTCTACCAGTTTGAGACAGCGTGGGATAGCTCCATGCACAACTCGCTGCTGCTCAACCGTGTCACTCCGTACCGGGAGAAAATCTACATCACTCTTTCTGCCTACATTGAGGCAAGGACCTTAGTCGGGGCCATTATAATGCCAACAAAGTCTGGTGTTTCCCCCACCCCCTCCTTAGCTGGCACCCATGCTAAGGGGATGCAGGATTCAACCTGGTGCTTGGGGGCCCTGTGGGACCCTGGGAGTGGAAACCGCTGGGCATCAGGGGTGGGAGAGACCTGCTGGGCTGCCAAGCTACAGCCCCCCCTGATGCCTCCCCCCTGCCCTGCTGCAGATGGAGAACTGCACTCAGCCCGCCATCATCACCAAAGACTTCTGCATGGTTTTCTACTCCCGGGATGCCAAGCTTCCTGCCTCCCGCTCCATCCGCAACCTTTTTGGCAGTGGCAGCCTGCGGGCTTCCGAGAGGTACCGGGATGCTCCTGCCTTTCTGGGGAAGGAGAGCCATCACCCAGTGACTGGAGCCCTTCAGGGGCATCCCAGCAGCCTGGGCAAAATAACTGGGGCATGTGGATGGGGCAGAGCTGGTAACGCCTCATCTCTCTTTGCTCTCAGCAACCGCGTGACGGGAGTCTACGAGCTCAGCCTCTGCCGCGTGGCCGATGCCGGCAGCCCAGGTGGGTGCCACGCCTCTGCCCGGGTGTTCGCTGTGAGTCTGGGAGGCATGGTGTGGCGGTTGGGGCTGGGGCCATGTGTCTGTCCCGCCAGCTGTGTCTGTCCCCGCAGGCATGCAGAGACGGCGACGGCGCGTGCTGGACACCTCCGTAGCCTATGTGCGGGGAGAGGAGAACCTGGCTGGCTGGCGGCCCCGCAGCGACAGCCTCATCCTCGACCATCAGTGGGAGCTGGAGAAACTCAGCCTCCTGCAAGAAGTAAGAGTCTGGGCTATAAAAAGGCCAAAATGGTGCAATTTGCAGCTCAGCCCCTTGCCCTGCCATTGCCGGTGGGATTCCCCACCCCAGGTGTCTCAGCCCTCCCAGTTGCCGGAGGAGGCAGGAGTGGGGCTGTGCCACTGGTGCTCTCCTGTGCATCGCTGCTACCCGGGTCCCAGCAGACCCGAAGGTAATGAGTAGATGGGGTTAACGGAGCCTGAGAAACACAGTCCCGGAAAGGATGCCTGCAGGGGGAAGGGGCCACCCCTGAGCCTGGCTGCCTGTGCCCAGGTGGAGAAGACAAGGCACTACCTGCTCCTGCGTGAGAAGCTGGAAACGACCCAGCGCCTGGGCCTGGAGACCCTATCCCCCTGCTCCAGTGAGGACTCCGAGTCCCGAAGCACCTCTTGCGTCTCCTCCCCGCTCTCTGTTGATGGGGTCCCCGAGGGCCGCACTTCTCCTCCTGAGACCCCCAGCGAGAGGCAGAAGGAGCTGGCTGTGAAGGTACCGTCCTGCAGCATCCCCAGCTCACGGGGATGAAGCTGGGAAGGGCTTCCCATGGGGCAGCAGGGGGGTGCGGCAGGAGAAAGCCCAAGAGGAGCAGGAGGAGGAGAATGGAGGAAGGTGCCTCCTGCCCCACTGTTCTCCTCCTCTCTCCACAGTGCTTGCGCCTGCTCACACATACCTTCAACAGGGAGTACAGCCACAGCCATGTCTGCATTAGCGCCAGTGAGAGCAAGGTACTGCTGCTGCCCTGGGTTTCGCCAGGCTGTCAGGCGCTGGGAGGGACGCGTGGCCAGGGGGGATGGGCTGGGTGGGGGCCAGATGGGCACCATGGTGCGAGTGGTCTCTGCTCCAGGATCCCTGCTCCCTCTACTCGCCCTGGTGTTCCTGGAGCTGGTGGCTCTTGGGACTGTGCCAGGAGAGGACCCCATCAGCCGGAGGTCTCACCTCTCCCTGTATGAGCAGGTGCCTGGTCCTTTGCCTGTGCCTGGCTTCAGGCAGAAACTCTAGTCCACACCTCTGCTCCTCCACAGCTGTCTGAAATGTCCGTGACTCTGATGAGAGACCCCTCCATGCCAGCTCTTGGGGTCACCACTCTCACCCCCTCCTCTACCTGCCCGTCACTGGTGGAAGGACGCTACAACGCCATGGAGGTCAGGTAAGAAGGTGGCCGGGAGGTTCGGGTGACGCCCTGGCATCCCCCAAGCAGGGCAGCTGTGCCACTAGGATGCGGTCCTGGTCGATGGGTGCTCGCCAGCCATCACTCTTCCTACTACCTGGTCTCTCCTCCCTCCCCAGACCCCCCGAGGTCTCCTCCAGGGCAGAGAGCCCTGACCTGGAGCCAGTGGTAGAAGGAGAGCAGAAGAAGTCCCCGTCCTGCAGGCCTGAGGAGGAGAAGGAGCCCCAGCGTTTGCTGGTGCCTGACATCCAGGAGATCCGGGTCAGGTAGGAGTGGCTGGGGCAGTCAGCGAGGGGAGCACCTTTGGACTTGGGGAGACTGTGGTCTACCATTGCCACCTCCTTGTGGTCTGTGTCCCACCCTGACCTCGGTCCCCTCTGCAGCCCCATCGTCTCCAAAAAGGGCTACTTGCACTTCCTGGAGCCGCACACCAATGGGTGGGTGAAGCGCTTCGTGGTGGTCCGGCGCCCATATGTCTACATCTACAACTCGGACAAGGACGCAGTCGAGAGGGCCATACTCAACCTCTCCAAGGCCCAGGTGGAGTACAGCGAGGACCAGCAGGCAATGCTCAAGGTAGGGCGCTGGGAGCCAGCTCCGCTCTGTGCACCCCCTTGGGCGAGAGACTCAGCCCCAACTCTCCCCCAGCAGACCCCGAACACATTTGCGGTGTGCACGGAGCACCGAGGCATCCTGCTGCAGGCGAGCAGCGACAAGGACATGCACGACTGGCTCTATGCCTTCAACCCCCTCCTGGCTGGGTCCATAAGGTACCGGGGCAGCTGGGGGAAGAGGGGTGCAGGGAATCATAGAATCATAGAATGCTTTGGGTTGGAAGGGACCTTTAGAGATTATCTAGCCCAACCCCCCAGCTGTTAGTAGGAGGTCCATGGGCAGCCAAGCGTGCTCCCTGCCGTGCTCCCAGTGCTCTCCCTACTGCAGCGCCCCTGGCCGGGTGTGGGGAGCACCTCCTGCACAGAGCTGTGCCTGGACGGGCTCTCAACCAGCAAAACTTGGACCATATTAATCTTGATTTCAGCTCCTCCCCACTTAATGGCTTCAGTCTAGGGCCAGATCCTGGCTGGTACAGAGGTGGTGTGCTGCGTTCAAAGCAACATCCATGCCTGGCAGCAGGGACATTGGCCTTTCACTGTTCTTGAGAGCATCTCACATAGTTCTTGAGAGCATCTCACAAAGTTCTTGAGACCATCTCATGAAGTTCTTGAGAGCATCTCAAGTGGCAGGACTAGGGAAATAGGAGTAAATGCACAGAAATTAGTGTGCTCTGGCTAAAGAGACATTAATCCCGTGTCCCTCCAGCTCTGGCTGGATTCAAGCAATCAGCCTGGAGCCAGGACACCGAACCCGGGGGACCACAGGTCTCTTTGTCCACATCTCTGACACCTTTTGTCCCTTGTTTTCCAAATCAGATCCAAGCTGTCCAGAAGGAGAACAGCCCAGATGAGAATCTAACCTGAATAACATCCTTCACCTCATCCATCTGCCAACAGGATCAAGATAGCTGATTCTGTCTCAAGACTCCCCATGTTAATGTCTGATCTCTCACACCATCTGCTGCCCCAGCTGTCTGCTCCATGGAAGGATCTGTCTTGATTCACACTTTCATGGGGGAAACTCACTTCCGTTCGTCGCTGCAAAAGCCTGGACCTGCCTGGGCAGGATTTCTTGTGCACGTGCCATCTTCTGCCCATCTCCCCATGGGTGACCTTCATGTCACACTATCTGTAATGCTCCAGAAAGGTCCCTGTTGGAGGGGAAGGAGTGAGGAGGGCAGTTTCGGCTAAAAGCTGGTCTTTGATCTACAGAGGTGGGAGCGCGGTAAAGCTTGGAGGTGGGAGAGCAGGATGAATTGCCTCCATGTGAAGGGAAAGTGATAGTTTAGGTATGGGGATTTCCTAGTTTATTGATCTTTCTGCAAGAGATGGCAGGGTAAGATCAGGTGTTGGTAGTTTAAGATTATATTTATAAAGTATTTATTTCTATTTACATCACAAAAATCCCGTAAGTTGGGTCCTGGCCCCCGAACAACACCTCCCCCAGGCAGGGGAGAGCCTTGGCGGTGGGCTGGGGTCCCGGAGGTGCCTTCCCTGGGACATCCCTGGTATGTGCCCGGCAGTGGCAGAGCTCTCACCCTCACTCCCTGCCCTTCCCCAACCCTCTGCTTTGCCCCCCCTGCAGCTTAAACTACTTCTTCCCTGACCAGTGGCTGGACAGCCCACCATGTCTTCCCAAAGGAGGCAATTCCTACCTGCCCCATCTACCTCTGGCAGGGGGGAGCCTGCCATCTCAACTGGCCGGGTCACCCATGTCCACACAGATGGGTCACCCTGCTTCAGATCTTGGTCCTGCTGGAGGGAAAAGGAGGGCTCTGGGGACGGCTCTGCGTGTCACCTTGTGCAGGGCTGTCCTTCCCAACCAAAAGCACATGGGCCACCTCCACTATCCCAGCCTGGGAGCCCCAGGGGACTTGTCCAAAGGGATTCCCCCACTCTTAGGACAGGACACCGAGGGTCCCATCCCTGCGGGGAGTGTGCAGGTTCAGGTGGCCGCTTCCAAAGCCTGATGGGAAAGTTCCTCAGGAGCCGGGGCTCGTTGCCCTTTCCCAAAAGGGCTGCCACATCCCTTCTCCTCCCAGTAGGACAACAGGCTTGAAGCAGGTCAGAGGGGCAGGGGAGAGGCTGGTGGGGATATTGGGGTGAGGATGGGGCTTCTTTTTACTGTTGTAGCTGGTGTTTTCTCACTGCTCTTCCCCCACTGCAAAAGCGAGTGCCCACCTCCTTCCCACCCTGCCTCCATTGGCACATTAATCCAGGAGGCTTCCCATGGCAGAGGTGGATTCTCCGAAAAGACCTTCTCCTCCAGCCATCACCGCTTCCCACCTCCCCCACCAGCAGCTCTTCCTTTTGTCCTGCTCTCATCTCTCACTGATGGGGGGATGCTTTCATTTGGGGCTTCCCAAATGGCTGGCAGCATCCAGCACAGCTCTAGGCAGGAAGGCAAGCATCTTCCTCTGTGCATCTCCCAGGCACCCCCCCCAGCTTTACTGTCACCCTTCGCAGCTGACCTTTCCTTGCACAGCACGGCTGTGCCTTGGCTCTGCCGCACTTCCCCATGCTGTCTGTGGTGGGTGTGTGTGGGGGGGTGGGGTGGGGGGTGGAAGGTGTTGGACATGGTGCCGTCTTCTCGTTGTTACACTCGTGTCATGGGGGGCACGGAACAGGTAATGATATGGCAGGCAGGCAGAGGCTTGCAGGGACCTCCTTGCTGCATGTCAGGTGCCATTCAGCTTGGGTTTCATGTCACGGAAAGGGTTTTGGGATCCTTCCTGAGCCCCTGCTGGTTCTGCCTGGCCTCGCTGCAGCTCCTTGGGCATCTCAGCCCATTGCTCTGGCCTGAAGCTGCAGCGGGGCTGCTCCTCCCAGCCCCGTTTCCAAGGCAGGCAGCAGCTTGCCCATCCAGAGCAAACTCCCCATCAAATGGGTTTTTTTCTCCCCTGTGATGCATTTTAGAGCCCTGGAGGTCAGCTCGTGCCCTTTATGGAGGGAGACGTGCCTGCTCAGGGGCGTGGAGGGGCAGAGCTGCGGCTGGGCGGA